CCTATATTTTAGTCTAGTAACTTTAGTTTTCTTTGTTTTCTTTCTTCTTTCCCTCCCTCCTCCTCTCTTTCTCTTTCTTCCTCTTCCTTCTTTCTCCCTCCCTCCTTTCTTTCTTTTCTTTTTTTTCCCTATATTTAAGCCATCTGGATTTCATCTTTTTGTTGAGTTTGGGATCAATTTTATATTCTTCCATATTGGTCCCAGGTTTCCTTATAGCACCTAATCATGGCTCAATGAATTATACTCATTGAAATTTTCTTCAATTGATTTTTTTTTTTTTTTGGTGGCATTTATCTCAGGGCAAAGATCCAAGAAGCCTGTTAATCTGCCTTTCTCTAGAGCTTTCCTATCTGGCTTCTCCATCAGTCATCCTGTCTCCTATTTTGTCCTTCAACTCTAACTGATCTCTAAGTCAGTTTCCATATTTGCTTTCATTAATCTCTTTGCTCTAGAGCAGGGGTCTGCAAACTTTTTCCGGAAAGGGCGAGAGTACATAGACTTTGCAACTATCCAGCTGGGCCATTGTAGCATGAAAGCAGCCACAGACAATAACTTAGGAATGCATGTGGCATCGTTCCAATAAAACTTGGTTTCTGGACAGTAAAATTTGGATCTCACTTGATTTTTCACATCACAAATTATATTCTTATTTTGATATTTTTCCTGGCATTTGTAAAATTTAAAAACCACTCAGCTGACGAGCAATATAAAAACAGATAGTGTGCTGGATTTGGTGCACAGGTCATGTTTTGCTGACCTCTCCTCTAGGGCGTAGGGCTTCTTCCCTCCTGTCCTGTATCTTCCCTGTAAAAAGGAGCCACAGGTCTCAGGCAGGCACATAACTCCAAGCAGTTTTCGTCTTTCAACCAGTATTAGCATATTCATAAACATATTACAAACAATACATTTCAGTTACCCTCCATCCCCAAATTCTGGGAATTACAGCTTTTACATGACTTTTGAATTTCATTTTCTGTGAGTGTTAAACTGCTCCCTTGTTTAATTTATTGTAATCTTTTTTTTTTTTTTTTTAAGATGGAGTCTTGCTGTGTCACCCAGGCAGGCTGGAGTGCAGTGGTGCAATCTTGGCTCACTGCAACCTCCACCTCCAAGGTTCGAGTGATTTTCCTGCCACAGTCTCCCAAGTAGCAGGAATTACAGATGCCACCATGCCTAGCTAATTTTTGTACTTTTAGTAGAGACAGGGTTTCACTACATTGACCAGGCTGGTCTCAAACTCCTGACCTCAGGTGATCCACCCACCTCGGCCTCCCAAAGTGCTGGGATTATAGCTGTGAGCCACGGTGCCCAGCCTACTGTAAGTGTTTTATGAACTTTTTTTTTTTTTCTGGGAGAGGGTATTTTTTCTACTATAAGTGATCTTTAAAACAGTTGAACTTTTTTCACAGCCTTGTACACTACTATTGCAAGATCATTTTGTTTTAAAACATATTTTTCTAGGAACGTCAGTGCTTTAATTGCACAAAATGTTTTATTTTGGCACAATAACTTTTTTAAATATAATACTTTATGTGCATTAAAATATTTGAAAATGTTTGCCTCTGATTAGATATATCTCTATCACAGGAAAATCTGAAGTTTAGTGATGCAAGTCAGAGCTTACTTAATAGTCTTCTGGGCCATAACCTTATAATCTGTAATAAAAAATAACACATACATGCATTTGTTCAGTCTCTTATAGGCCATAAATTCTTCCATAAATATTTCTTTGAAATTTACTTTAAAATAAATAAATAAATAAAACAACATTAAAACCAGAAAGTGTTAAGATACTGATTGATTCTCCCTTCCTTACCATTCCCCCAACTTTACTTTTTGGGGATGAAAGAAAGCAACAACTATGGTGTTTGTTTAAATACCAAACGGTCTTTAGATACATTGTTTAGCAGTGAAAAATACGTTATTTATCAACTGTCGGGGGTACGTGGGGATTCCTTAACAGTGCCAGAAGAGAGAAGTGAAGTAGCATTTATTGAGCTCCTACTTTGCATCAGGGTAATTCCTACAACCCTGCAAGTTAGCCGCTATCATCCCTGTATTCAGCTGTTGCATCCTAAGCCTGGAAGGTTTTAGTAACTTCCCCAAGGTAGCCCAGCTTGTTGAAGGTAGAGCCCAGATTGGAAGCTCAGAGTCTGTGTCCACATATACTTCTCCACTTCAAAGATTGAGCTTAGAAAAAATAAGCTTTTTGACATAGTCAGTAATACACAAATATTTATACATGATTAGTGCACTCTTCCATAGGCATATAGACTTGCTTTGAAACAACTGAAAACTTTATTTGGAACAATTCTATTAATTGAGCATTTATTGCCTCTTTCTGGAGTAGACATGACTTTCTGTTCTGTCATTACATTTCCCTTAGCAAAACAAACAAATTCACTCACAAAATTGTCATTTTGACAATATCATTTGTGTTAGGATTCCTTTGTGTTAGGACTCCAATCAGCATTTCTGTTAGAATTCCAAATGTTTTCCTCACATTTGTCCTATTAGTTCTAGATATTAGTCTTTAATTTTTGTTGGGGCAGATTGCTCAGAGTCCACTGTGTTACAAACATCAGATAGTGATCCAAGTGCCAGGATTCTAAATTTTAAAATGTTAACTCCATGAAAATATTTTGCTTAAGCAATCTTCTTTTCCTCAGCTTCCTCTATACCTCCTATAATATTCTTTTATCCTTCCTCTTGGCACACTCTTTGAATTTTAAACCGAAAGTGAGTCAGGTGATGATAGAGCATTTCCAAAGCGTTTGCTCTAATGATATTGTTGTTATTATTATTATTATTATTTTGAGACAGAATCTCTCTCTGTCACCCAGGCTGGAGTGCAGTGGCATGATCACGGGTCACTGCAGCCTTGACTTCCTGGGTTCCAGCGATCCTCCCACCTTGGCCTCCTGAGTGGCTGGGACCACAGGTGTGTGCCACCACACCTGGCTAATTGTTGTATGTTTTTGCACAGATGGGGTTTTGCCCTGTTGCTCAGGTTGGTCTCAAACTCCTGAGCTCAAGTAGTCCACCCACCTTGGCTTCCCAAAGTGCTGGGATTACAGGCATGAGCCACTGCGTCCAGCCCTCTAATGATATTAAAACAGGTGTTAACTTTTAGATATTTTTGTTTTCTTAGACGTGTTCTTTTAAGAGAAACTTCCTTGTTATCTAGCAGAAATAGTCAATCAGGCTCCTTTTTAGCCACAAAATTGATATCTAACACTTTACCATTACTGGGGTGTTACAGCCATTTAGCACACTTTTTTTCTTCAATATATTTTGTTGTAAATTCTCAAGTTATAATGTTATAAGAAAAGAGCAGCTAAAATAATGGGGGAATAGATGCAATATCATTGAAAAACAAACTAAAAATATAAATGCTATAGTCTAAAAATTAAAAGCCTAAAAGGGACTGAAAATGCAATATCTGAAATTATTAATCACTTTGACAGGTTTATGATCTTCACTTAGATCTGGGGTTCTAAGAATATGCTATTGCTTTGAATTGTGGGAGAAGTAAATTTACTACAAATAAACTTCAGTAAAGAGATGTTTTTGTTAGAAATAGACTTGGCTGTCAGGCATGGTGGCTCATACTTGTAATCTCAGCACTTTTGGGAGGTTGAGGTGGGAAGATTGCTTGAATGCAGGAGTTCAAGACCAGGCTGGGCAACATAGTGAGACCCCATGTCTACAAAAAATAAAACATTCACTGGCATAGTGGTATGCACTTGTAGTCCCAGATATTGAAAAGGCTGAGGTGGGAGGATCACTTGAGCCCACGAGGTCAAGGCTGCCTTAAGCCATGATCACACCACTGCACTCCAGCCGAGGCAACAGAGTGAGACCCTGTCTCAAAACAACAACATCAAAAAATAAATAGGTTTGGCTGTGAGTAACAAAGAACTGAAAATAACAGCAGTTTAAACACGTTTAGAGTCATGTTTATTTCATGTTTAGGAAAAGAGACTAGAGGTAGCCAGCTCAAGAGTAGTTTAGTGGTTCTGCAATCATTAGGGCCCCAGGTTGCACTTCTGTCATCCTTAATATGGGACCCTATGGCCCAAGATAACTTATTAGGCTCCAGCCATCCTTGCAGTCAGGAGGAGGAAGTGGCACAAAGATACTTCTACAAGTAATACATGGTACTTCCGCCTAAATATCACTGGTCAGAACTTATGGCTGGGTGCGGTGGTTCATACATGGAATCCCAGCACTTTTGGAGGCTGCAGCAGGAAGATTGCTTGAGACCAGGATTTCAAGACCAGCCTGGGTAACATACTGAAACCCCACCACTTCAAAATAAAAAATAAAAATAAAATTAGCCAGGTGTGGTGGCATACACCTGTATTCCTAGCAACTCAAAAGTCTGTGGTGAGAGGATTGCTTAAACCTAGGAGTTAAAGGTTGCAGTGAGCTACGGTCATGCCACTGCACTCCAGCCTGGGTGACAGAGTGAGACTATGACTCAAACAAACAAAAACAAAAACAAAACTTAGGTGTCTAAAATGGGAGCACAGTTTTATTTGGGGATGATGAAAAAGTTGTGGAGATGGATGGTGGTGATATTATACAATAATCTGAAGGTGCTTAATGCACTATAAACCAAAAATGTTTTAAATGGTAAACTTTATGTTATGTTTATTTTACCACAAACAAACAAACTTAGTCATCAAGAAGGAGGGGAGGCCAAAATGTGATCTTTATTTTGGATAGCCATTTTCCTCCTAAAAATTTGAGGTTCAATTACGAAGAAAAAGAGGTTAAATATTGGGGAGTACCTAGCTTTGAAACACATGTAATAGCTGAAAATATAAAGGGCAACAAACAAATGCACAAAAAAAGAAATACAGAAAGTCATACATGACCTATGAAGTGAATTAATAAGTGGGGATTGATAATAACACTTTTACTAGGACAAAAAAAAGTAAAAGACCAATCTTTGGTATCTAATCCAGAATCCTTATATTCTTCTATTTGTTCAGTGGCATTGCCAAAGCATGGCATCAGGCATATTTTGGGGAAGGGTCTGGCCCAGTTATGTTGGATGAAGTACGCTGCACTGGGAATGAGCTTTCAATTGAGCAATGTCCGAAGAGCTCCTGGGGAGAGCATAACTGTGGCCATAAAGAAGATGCTGGAGTGTCCTGTACCCCTCTAACAGGTAAGGATTTTACTCCATTAATATACCAATTCTTGCCCCCAGTACCATGTGGGCCTGCCACAGCTTCCCTTCTCCTTAATTTGAACATTACCAAATGAGCATTCAAATAAATACACCAAATAAAACAAATAAAAAGTATGCAAACTATATTAAAATACCATTTTTGTATTTGTAGTTACTCCTGTATTTTTCAATTTAAGGCAATATAGTCTTGTAAAGCTAGATCAGAAAATAGGACTTTGTTGCAGTATATAGTACCCACTAGTCAAAATCAGTATGCAGTGATACATTCCAGATATTAGGTGTAATAATTCCATCTTTAGTCCATTCACCTGTTAACGTTTCTTGACTCAGAATGTGTTTAGAACTGGTATTGATGCAATTGTTGATTAAAGCACACTGTGAAAGAAACCAAGTTAACTTTGCTGTGCACAATTTTCAGGCTATTCCAAATGACAGCCTGCCTGTCAAAACGTGTCATGTGTTTTAAGAAGGGCATATGTGAGTACAAACTGGTGTGTGTGTATGTTAAACTTACATGTTTAGGGAAAAGAAGAAGGAAATGGACAAGGCAAGAGAAGTTGACTCATCAGAAACCATTTAGTAAAAAGAACTTAAAGAAAAAAATGTTTTGTTTACATATTTCTTTAGTGAAAATCAATAACTTGTTAGAATCTATGAAATACCAGATTTATATCTTTCTTTTGACATACTTCTATACATGCAGTGTTTTTATTAGCAGATTAACACATTAGTACACCATAGAAATATATTTACACCAGATTTTTAGCCAGAGCACTTCGTTGTTTTGAACTGCCATTTTCCCCTCCTTCAAAGGAGGATAGTCTTGTAACATTGCTGTGATGCTCAGATGAGATAATACATGTCCTAATGCTTTGCAGACAGTAAAGTGTTATATTAATAAATGGTTTGTTGCTCAGAGACCTTTACTTTAAAAGATCCCTGAGATTCATGAAAAGTATGACCCTTACCCAAGATTATTTATATTTTTCATTGAGAGTTTTTGGATTATTTTGGATGGAAATGGCTTTTAAATCTACTTTTTTGGAGTTAAATTTATTATACTATTTATCTGCTTAGAAGCTCTTTATAGAATTATAGGCAAATTAATTATTATTTGAGTTAATAAGATTCAAATTCAGATCTGTATTATCAATAAAAGAACAAAGGCGAGACATATCTTCCAGTTTTTATAATTCATGAATGCCTAACTAGTAATATATGCATTGACATGACAGACTGTCTTTTATCCAGAATAGTTTTTTCTGTCATCTTGTTTCAATATTTTTTTCATTTGCAGTTAAAATTCTAAGCTATTTCCAAGTTACTGTATTTTCTTTTTAAATTTAAATGACATGTATTGCTCCGACTTGAGACTAAAGTTATAGGAAATTTACCAAATATTACTTTATCTAGAGAAATCTAAATAGATACTTTGGAATTATATCAGGATACATTTTTCTACATAGAGAATAGGAGTACCAATAAAAAGGAAACTCCTCTGAGACGGAGTCTTGCTTTGTTGACCAGACTGGAGGGCAGTGGTGCAGTCTCAGCTCACTATAACCTCTGCCTCCTGGGCTCAAGCGATTTTCCTGCCTCAGCCTCCCAAGTAGCTGGGATTACAGGCATGTGCCACCACACCAAGTGGAAAGAGTATTTTATTAGGACAGAAATGTGTTATGTCAAACTTCAGAAACAATGTAATAACTTCAGAGGGTCATTTAGCACAGATGTAGTATAAATTTAGCAAAAGGCCTAGAGCGAGGACTGAATATGGTGATATTTCTTGTGTAATGCAAATGTTTTGCCTTTTTCTTAAAGTTGATTTGCTTAGTCTCTGTGTCTCCTCCTTATCACAGATGGGGTCATCAGACTTGCAGGTGGGAAAGGCAGCCATGAGGGTCGCTTGGAGGTATATTACAGAGGCCAGTGGGGTACTGTCTGTGATGATGGCTGGACTGAGCTGAATACTTACGTGGTTTGTCGACAGTTGGGATTTAAGTAAGGTTCATTAATGTAAAGGCAGTTAAATGCCAGATTATATTGTTAAAAGTCTTATTATGTTAATCCCTACTTGTAATTTTTATAATAATAAAAATACATGGTCTCTCTTACCTGTGTATGGAAGTACAACAGTGAAAAATAATGACATTTTCTAAGATGATGAAGAACCACCTCTTGCTGTTTATTTCATTTACCTTTCCTGCCATGACCCCTCTTCTTGAATAACTAGTTGAAGCCTGGGTGACCTCTAAGTCCCCTTGTGTCTGTTCAAGAAAGACTTTGAATGCTCATTTTTATTCTGACACGTCATTACTATTGGGTGTTTTTAGTTTTGACATCATTGTCTAAAATTGCAGAGAAGTCCAGTGTCAAATGCTTTGGTATCACATTCCCTTTCTCAGAATGTGATGATAATTATCACTTTTATTTGAGAAAAACAGCCCTCTTGTTAGGAGATGACCTTTAGAACTTGCTTTTGACCTCACTCTCTTAAAAGCTGAGTATCACACTTTGGGACATATATTTTATGTCACGCACATAATGCATTCCATAGTAAAGACTTAAGTTGGTCAAAGTAACTGCAAATGATGCTTTTGAGTTAAATATTTGAGTGAAAGCTATGAATGCCCATTCTTTCTTGTTTTCCATATTTCCCTGTCATAATTGAAGTAATTGTCTTATGCTTAAAAAAACTGGCAAAATTATTTCATTTTAGCTTGATTAGAGCTGATTGCAGATATTCACTACACTTTAAAATCATACCTTCATTCAAGCTAGGCAAAGTCATGTTAAACATATATTTTAAAATTTATAAAAGTAATGTAAAACTATTGGAAAATGATGAAAATAAAAAATTCCATATTTTTTTATCCTTATGCTATCATTATAATTTGGGTACATAACTTCATATCAGCTCTAGTAATGGACATGTAATTTTTATCCACATTTTTAACCTTATATTGCTATAGTCACAATTTTTAATGATAACAGTATCCATCAAGTTTTCATACTCTAATTTACTTAATATTAGGTTAGCTTAATTTTTCCTATGATAAGTAATGCTGTCATGAAGATACAATATTCATATAATTTCCCCCTATTTTGTCTTTTTTTGGGCAGAGAAGTTACTGTAATTTTTGGGTAAAAGGGTATAACAGCCAAATAAATACAATATACTGACAATTGATAAGAATTACTTAATAAATATCACTTTATATTTAAGTGAATCTCTGTTAGACTGCCAACTATACTCTGTTTTCACAGATTTAGAGAGATTCATAAAATCATGTTATTTCTATTTATTTTCACATTTGGAGAGATGCATAATTCCTGCTATTTCTATTTTTCACATTTTTTTCCTTATTAATGAAAACACTTGACACTGATTTTTTCTTCATATTTTATTTTGTTTCACAAATCTATGCAGAATATTCACATTAGTTTTAAAAATGTTCCCAATAATGTGTGTAAAAAGCTCTAAATGATTGTGTTAGAAGGCAGTCAAAGCATGTGCTACATTTGTTTCTAGTTTACAGAGGAATTTTTGAAAGAGAATATTCTTTTGTAATGAGAAAAAGTAAACTTTGGGTTTCTTTGTATAAATGCAATTCCAAAATAAAATGACTTCCTGTTATCTGTTACGTAGTTGCTATGGATAGATGATAATCTAATGTATTTTGTGAAAAAATGGTCTATAAGTTAAAAGTGAACAATATGCGATTTAGGCTTATTACTTTTCTAGCCAAGGCTTGATTAGTCAGCAGTAGAAGGAAGAAAAGCCATAGAATGATTAAAAAGCTTCATTGTTTTAATTTTTTAAAATATTCATTTTGTCAAATAAATTTAATAAATACTTGCATAGAAAAAAATGAAGAAAATTCATGTCAGATAGAAAGATCTCTTCGTATTCTTAGTACAGAAATAATAAAAACATCAAGTAAGGGAATTATTATTATGAGTAAGAGTTGGATCTTATGGACTGTTAGAACTGAAAGACGTCTTAAAGATTTGTAAGCTCAGTGACTTCTGGAGGTTTGGATTTTATGGAACAAAAGGAAATAAAATTGGGAAGATGAAAGAAGGTGCAGATTTACTTAATTTCTAAGTTAAAAAAAATTTCAGGTCTCTCCTATTTCTTCAGCATATATGTTTATTACTATACATTTTAGGTTTTGTTTCTGTAGTGCAGTGTTACAAATAAACTCAATTGGAACACAAATATAATTGATAAAAATTTTTAAGGTTCAATTTGTATACCTTACGAAAAGCTAAGAATATTATAATTCTGATTTTGATGGGCTGAAATCTAAATTTAATCATAGATTAGGTATAGTGCTTGAGCAATCAGTGAACTAATCCACCCTTTTCATTTTGAAAGAGAGAAAACCAAAGAAAAGCTGCTGAAATCAAATGAGTTAGAGGGAGCATCAGAAGCAAAATGAGACAAGTGTTCTCGCTTTCTGGTCATAATTTCTGTGGTCAGGAATTTGAGATTGATCTCTTTGCATTCTCTCTGATTGGTTTTGTAGACAAAACACAAGAATGAATGGGGAAAAAGTATTAATTTCTCATTTGTTATTCATTGAAATAATCAAACATTTTTAAGGTGATTAAAACATGTGATGGAGCAAACATAGCTCTAAACTGAGTCCCCAAGGTAGGAGAAAGAACAGATACTTACCCTCTGAAGTCATGTCACTGAGCTAGGTTGCCTGTGTTAAATGTTTTGTGGTTCCCTGAACCAAGATAGAGCAGTTCTACACACAGTGTTTATTTAATTGTCGCAGATATGGTAAACAAGCATCTGCCAACCATTTTGAAGAAAGCACAGGGCCCATATGGTTGGATGATGTCAGCTGCTCAGGGAAGGAAACCAGATTTCTTCAGTGTTCCAGGCGACAGTGGGGACAGCATGACTGCAGCCACCGCGAAGATGTTAGCATTGCCTGCTACCCTGGCAGCGAGGGACACAGGCTCTCTCTGGGTGAGGACTGACTGCAGCTCTCAAGTTGCCATCATTCAGTACCCTTGTACCTCTAACCACTGGCCTTGAATGTGAAATGTTTCTCATCTTTGGCTTTTTTGGGGGGTCTATTTCCCATAACTGTCTAATTTTCAGTAATTTTTATGCAGAGAAAAATAATCTTTTGAGTCTCTACACCAACATTATGAAATTTCTACCCCTACGTTGTTTTTCTTTACTTAGAAAATTAAGTTTCTCACTAAAAATGCTTACAATCATCTGTATCTGAGAAATGGAATAAAGAAGCTGCAGTATCTATTCCCCTTACTCCTTGATCACTTACTCTGATTTTCGTTTACCTTGAATTCTAGTGAGCTATTTGGGACAGGATTTAAAATAAGAATATTCTCCTCTCCCTGTCTCATGGTTCATTTCTTCTCTAGTCCTTGTCATTCATTGGTCACCAACCATCCATTGCTCTTTTAAGTTTCTCAGTGGTCTTCTAAGTGAATTAATTAAAGTTAATAGCTCACCCATCTTTCTAATGTAACTTATTATTTTAGAAACCCATCAGGGATCTCTGTTACTCTTCGTTTATATTTTTTTAGACTTGTTGGATAAAAGGTAACTAGCTCCTCTAACTGTATTGAAACAATTATGGATAAAGATCCTCTTGAGAGTAGAGAGCAATTAAACATTCTTGATAAATTTCTTAATGTCTGGTGAGGAGGGCAGAATATAGATGAATGAAAAATACAGAGGGAAATAGTCAAAATACTTTGTAGTATGCTATCACAGCTTTATGTGTGTGTGTGAGAGAGAGAGAGTGAATGTGTGTGTGTGTGTATGTGAATAGATGTTAAAATAGCCTTAGGTGGTCTTTACTTTTAACCTTGGATTGAATCAATTCCTTTGTATTCTCCTGTTTGGAGACTGTGAAGCTGAAATCTTCATATTATAAAATAACAAAACTTTTTTGAATCTCAGAGTATTAACCATATTACACACTTTAAATTTGTCAAAGTCTGTGGCTGATTCCTCATTGTACTTTACACTGTGAAAGCTTGGTGACACTGCATTAATCTAGCATTATACCAAGTAGAAATACATGTTTTTATTCCATCCCTTTCAGGCCATCTTTCCATTTTTCTTTCTTTTCATTTTGTTTTCTTTTTCCCTTGCCCCTTCTTCTTATGAAAAATTTATGATCCTCCCAGGATTATGTGGTGGATGATTACATGTGGTTGAGGGAGATAGAACTTGTTTGCTGGAAATGGATTCTCTCAGCCCCAGATAGCAGGTTTTGGAATCATGGGATGATCTACGCAAATATGCTCTGTGAGCTCCCAGTGACGAAATACTGTGTGACCTGAGTTCTCTGTAGGCCTGTGTTGTTAAATGCATCATATGGTTGGAATAACAAATCTTTTCAGTTCCCTTGAAAATCTTTTTAATTCTAGAACTCTAGATGTGTTTTTTCAAAATTTAAAAACCTGAGGGTGATAATTATTAATAAAACATATGATCATTATTATGAATCTCTTCGGTTCTAATCTCAGTAATGTGTCTATTAACTAAAGTCGTTTGTCTGAAGAACATTACGTCTGAGCCAAATATCCTTTTGGGATAGAATCATGTTACTATTTGTTCATTCATAGATCATTGCTTCCACCTATTAAAAACTATATATTTAAAAGAGAAGCTTAGAGAAGGAGATAACGGAATAACGATATAAATAACAGCATTTCGGAAACAATGGAGATTTTTTACTTCTTTGGCACTGCAACGATGAGCTCTTGGACTGTTGCTGTTTTCAGCTATTTGAAGGCTAATTTCTGGACCTTAACCTTATATGTCAAGGGAAACTTCTCAAAATTAGTTACAGCCCTATAGATACTCTTTTGGGTCTGTAGTGGGTGGAATGCTCAAAAGTAGTATTCTAGGTTAGTAAAAGTCATTCTAGTAAGAATGCAGTTGCTGCCTATGTGAGTTGGGAGAAATTTCTGGGATGGTAAAAATATGGATTTCTCATTTTAATATTACATTAATTCTTAAGCTCAGATTATTAAGTCCTGGCAAAGATTTCTTTCCCAGTGAGGTTGTTGCCTCTTACTCAATTTTACAGTATAAAATTAGGCTTAATTACATTAATTAATTTATTTATTGAGACTGAGTCTCACTCTGTCACCCAGGCTGGAGTGCAATGGTGCAATCTCAGCTCACTGCAGCCTCCATCCCCTGGGTTCAAGCAATTCTCCTGCCTCAGCCTCCTGAGTAACTGGGATTACAGGCACCTGCCACCACGCCCGGCTAATATTTGTGTTTTTAGTAGAGATGGGGTTTTGCCATGTTGGCCAGGCTGGCCCCAAACTCCTGACCTCAGGTGATCTGCCTGCCTTGGCGCCCAAAGTGCTGGGATTACAGGCGTGAGCCACTGAGCCCAGCCTAAAATTAGGCTTTTAATGTGTATGTATGCATGTTAGAATTTATCTTTTTTTCTTTCTTTTTTTTTTTTTTTTTTTTGAGGCGGAGTCTTCACTCTGTCCCCCAGGCTGGAGTGCAGTGGCACCATCTCGGCTCACTGCAAGCTCTGCCTCCCGGGTTCGCGCCATTCTTCTACCTCAGCCTCCCGAGTAGCTGGGACTACAGGCGCCCGCCACCGCGCCCGGCTAATTTTTTGTATTTTAGTAGAGACGGGGTTTCACCGTGTTAGCCAGGATGGTCTTGATCTCCTGACCTCGTGATCCGCCCGCCTCGGCCTCCCAAAGTGCAGGGATTACAGGCGTGAGCCACCGCGCCCGGCCTAGAATTTATCTTTTTTTCTAACAGACAGTATTATTTTCTAAAAATAATGTATTATGTTACAGGAAAAATTGAAGAAAACTACTGAAAGTCAACTTGAGATATATTTTAAAGATAACTGTATACCTATAGGATTGTTTAGGTTTCCCAAAAATTTTATCTATTTAAGATTTTAGAAATAAAACATGTTATGTGTTGTTATTTCCATAACAACGCAAACTTAATAGTGACAACGTATGGATGGCATGACTTTTGTCATCCAATTTCCCTTCAAGAATTAAGAATTTAATGATTTTGTAGAATGAATGGCTAAAATTAGGTTCAGAAGTATTTTATGCATTATTTTTACAAAGTCATGCAAGTTAGACTTTAAAAACACTTTATCATTTGTATTTTCAGAGTATATGAAAAAGTACCTATAAAACTACCAGAATGGAACATGTAGGTCTAATTTCATGTGCAAATGTTTTCTTAATTTTGAACCAAATATCCCAAAATGTAAAAAGTGAAAACTTTAAGAAAAGAATTTCATTTGTTTGATTTTGGTATCTGAGGATCACTTTTTCACTTTCTGTTCTTGGAAAGAACTCCCGAATTTCAGATACATTAATAAGAAATACGAAGTTTCGATATTGTGTTTTATGACATAGCTGAAACTCCAAGTTTTTATTCAGCTAATAGTGAGCAGTGCATACATAGAGTTGGCACTCCATAAACATATGTGAGTTTGATTTTGCTATGTGATTCTGCTATATACTGCCTGTCCCATGAAGTGAACATGATTAGGGATAGACACTGGGGAGCCAGCAACTCTTGGGGCAACACAGAAGAATGGAGAAGTAAAAAATGGATCAGAAGAATAAAAATAGAATGTGTCCATCTTGCTAACAATATTTTCTTTTAGTTAACCAATGTTGATTTAGTAACTTCACATATTGGTTTAAACATATATTAAATAATATATTGCCCATTACCTGCAGACTTCTACCTCCTTAGTTCTACTGATAATTTTACCATGCTTTATTGTATTCCCTAAATCCTTACCAATAAATTTTGGCCCTGAAGCTGGAGACCCTTCTAGTAACTAGGTAATCAGATGTGTGAGTGTTAGCTTGCTTGGGTTGCTGTAACAAAGTTCCACAGAGGTGGCTTAAACACAGATATTTATTGTTTCACAGTTCTGGGGGCTAGGAGTCCACAATCAAATGTCAGTAGGGTTCATTCCTTCAAAAAGAACTGTGAGGGAATGGCTGTGTGAGAGAGAGATGCTCCGGGCCTCTCTCCTTAGCTTGTATATGGCAGTCCTCTCCCCATGTCTCTTCACATCATCCTCTTCATGTCCAAATTTCTCCATTTTATGGGAATAGCAGCATATCTGATTAGGGCCCACCCTAATGACCTCACAATTCAACCCATGCAAGTCACAGTGAGGAGTTTCAATTCAACATCATAATTATTGGTGTGGTGATACGTGACACTTTACAAATCCCTTCATTTGTATTAACTTAGATAAATCTTAATTTGCTAGAGTTCAGTTTCTCAACTTTTAAGTCAGTAATTTTTGTGACTTAATTCTTTCCCTTAAAATCAATAGAAAGCCTTAGATGAAATTGTCCCTATTTACTGCTTTTCTTTTTTTTTCTTTTTCTTTCTTTTTTTGCCTCCTCCAGCATTAGACTTCAATCAAGTTACCTAACTGTGAATGCCAAGGTTGTGTCTGTTTCTGTCTTCCTAAAAATCTTGACTTTGGAGTATAAACTTCTAGCTCTGTTCACGGGTAAATGAACAGACATGAAGCAAAAACAACCTCAAGTTAATGTTCTTTTACTATTTAGAAGTAAGGTGTAATAAAGTAATTCACGGTTTTATAATGCCATTCATTCATTCATTCAACAAACAGTGATTGCCTATCCTCTATATGCCAGGCACTGTTCCACAGTCTGGGGATACAAGGTTGAGCAAGGTGAGCACTTTGAATTCAAGGCTGCAAGAGACACTGCAAAAATGAATAAAATTTTTATTGATCTATCTCCTCTCTCTCAAAAAAAGTATTTCCCATCTGATTTTATAGCTGATTTAAAAAGAACAATTGTGTTTTGTAGAGTCGCTCATGCTTTAGCATCAGTTTGCTGGTTTGGGCTGTTCTAATACTTTTGAATCATGACTTAGGTTTTCCTGTCAGACTGATGGATGGAGAAAATAAGAAAGAAGGACGAGTGGAAGTTTTTATCAATGGCCAGTGGGGAACAATCTGTGATGATGGATGGACTGATAAGGATGCAGCTGTGATCTGTCGTCAACTTGGCTATAAGTAAGGAAAACCTAATTATTTGAGATGGTTACTGATGAGCATATCTGAATTTTTAAATGCTTATTTTAATGAGTTACCTCTTACTTAAAACGAGCTTCTGTCATTCATTTGAAAATAGTGGCCGCATATTGTGTTGATCCAGAATTAAAAAGAAGTAATAAGTAGATCCTCTTCACATTTTTCTATCTTCTCACAAGAAATATGTCACATAAGAAATGTAGCTTTTTATCTAATAACAAAATCGTCTAATAACTCTGACTAGTCATAATACTGCTTGTATCAGCTGCTCTCAGTTAACCTTTTCTCTGTGATAAATGTTTCAACATTGTAGCCTTTTAAGGGACTCTAGAGTTATTGAAATTACTGTTGGTTCTCATTTTTCTTGGTAGTTATAAAGTCGCTGTGGACACGGAATTAGCAAATGCTGAGCCATTGCTCCTAGAGTTGAGGTCACTGCTCTCCATTCTTGTTTCAGCTTTCATACTTGTAAACAGTTGTCCTTTTTTACGGTTTGTGTGGTGCCAAATTTTTTTTTTTTTTTTTTTTGCATTTCTGTGCTTTCTTTGCTGATGACTTCACTGTTTAAAATGGCCCCCATTTGTAGTACCGAAGTGCTGTGTAGTGTTCCTAAGTGCAGAAAGGCTGTGATGTGACTTTGAGAGAAAATGCATGCATTAGATAAGCTTCACTCAGGCGTGAGTTACAATAAGAACATGGCACTAAATAGAATGTGAAAAGGACACGTGTTTACAATATGAAAGGAGGAAAAAAGAAGGCAGGTCATCTCCTGTTGGTTAGACTTCAGCTGGGTAATTTAAAATTTTACTTGGTTCTGCATATGTCATGAATGACTGTGAAAGCACCCTAAGTAATGATTTTGAAGTGACAAAAATATGGAAAATGTTATAATGCAGAGGGTTATAAATTTAAGATAATATATATAAATTGCCTAGCTCAGAGTAGATTACTAATAGTAATTTGGATTTAAAAATATATCCTTAATTGTATATCTGTGTGCATCTTAAATATTGAACAGTTCATATGGTTATTTTCTATAAATAATACACGTTTATTTTAAAAAGCATTTCTGTTTTAATAAAAGTTAAAATGTTGGGGGTAAACTTCAGCTGTGATCTGTCATCAGCTTGGCTATAAGTAAGGAAAACCTAATTATTTGAGATGGTTACTGATGAGCATATCTGAATTTTTAAATGCTTATTCTAAAGAGTTACTTCTTACTTAAAACGAGCTTCTGTCATTCATTTGAAAATACTGGCCACATATTGATTTGATTTGATTGTTTCTGGTTACTCGATACTACTTCAATTTATGGCATAGTGTTGGACCCAGTTGCAATTCCAGTTGTCCTACAGCCAATTAACCCTTCATTTGTGATATAAATTTTCAATTTTCAGAATATGGGACAGTAAAGTAGGGAGAGTCTACATTAGATGTGAAAGTGAATTTAGTCAGTGATTAATTTTATTTTGCTCACTGTGTTTCTATCACTCCTTTTTCCATTTGAGAAAGAAATTACATTCCCAATACATTTCCTCACCCAAAATCAGCCATTAAAAGATACTGCTCTTTAAGACTGGTTTCTTGGCCATATTTTAATTTTATTGTTTTGGTGGAGGTGATCCAAGAAGCCTAGTATTACCTTTGGAAACACAAAGGGAAGGATTGGCACCAAAGTTGATCTTCAAATTGTGTCTCAGCTAAGTTTAAGGAGAGAAAAATATCCTAAACGTGTTCATCAAGCATCATCAATACACACATAATTGTGTGTTATTACTTGAATTTCTTTCTAAATTGTTGATTGCTTTTTATTTATCATCATTGATATAGTTTGGACATTTGTCCCCACCCAAATCTCATGTTGAGATGTAATCCATAATATTGGAGGTGGGATCTGGTGGGAGGTGTTTGGATCATGGGGGCAGATCCCTCATGAATGGCTTAGGCCATCCCCTTGCTGATAAATGAGCTCATGCCCTGAGTTCACATGAGATCTGGTTGTTTAAAAGTGTATGGCACCCTTCCACCCTGCTTTCTGCTGCTACTTTTGCTGTGTGACTTGTCTATTCCCCCTTCACTTTCTGCCATGATTGAAAACTCCCTGGGTTTCAGCAAAAGCCAAGCAGATGCCAGCACCAAGCTTCCTGTAAAGCCTGTAGAGCTATGAGCCAATTAAACCTCTTTTCTTTATAAATTACACAGTCACAGGTATTTCTTTATAGCAATGGAAGAATGGCCTAACACAATCACTCAGTCCATTTAGCATTTAACTCAAAAGTGAATTTAGCCTCATGTTAGGATGGCTATGATCAAAACAACAAAGAGTAGCAACTGTTAGTGAGGATGTGGAGAAACTGGAACCCTTATACACTGTTGGTGGGAATGTAGAATGGTACAGCCACTGTGGAAAATAATATGGAAACAGTATGGAAAATAGTTCCTTAAAAAGTTAAAAGTAGAACTACCATATGATCTAGATACCCCATTTTTGGTTATATGGCCGAAATAATTGAAATTAGAACGTCAAAGAAATATCTGCACTCCCATGTTCAATGCAGCATTATTTGCAATAGCCAAGATATAGAAACAGCCTAAATGAGTGGATGAAGAAAACGTGGTATGCATATATATACAGTTACTGAAAGACAAATACTACATGATTCCACTTATATGATATATCTAAAATAGTCAAACTTATGGAAGCAGAAATAGAATGGTGGTTATCAGGGGTTGGGAGGAGAAGAAAATGGGAAATTATTTTTCAATGGATATAAAGTTTCTGTCATGCAAGATGAATAAGTTCTAAAGATCTACTGTACAATATAGTACCTATAGTTAATAATATGGTACTATATACTTCAAAATATGCTGAGGGTATAGATCTTATTTGTGTTCTTACCAAAACCAAATGAAAACCAAAACAGAACATAAAGAACAAAACAAACAAACAAACCTCAGAAAAGAACACAAGGAAATTTTTGGAGGTGAAGGATATATTTAGCACCTTGGTTGTGGTAATGGTACCACAGATACATGCATATGTCCAAACTGATGAAGATTTTTTATATCAATTATACCTCATTAAAGCAGAAAAAAGTGATTTTAAATGAGAAACACAATCTAGATTAAGTGAACAAAGTTTGTTGCAGCTTTCAATATTTCTGTAATACTTATCAAGAAAAGCATCAAAAGACTTTATAATCGTGTTTTAAATAGTCTTATAAGTAATTCAGTAATTTCATGTTACCATAACAAACTAGATAACATAATTTGCAATTTGCCATCAAATAGTATTTAAATGAGAATTGTTTAGCTATTTGATTAATCTAAATATACTTGCATATTTTTATAATTTCCTGCTGAGGGGAAATTGGATTTCATATAAGAACATATGTATATAAATAATTTTCATCATGTCTATTTTGAATCACAAAAAATATTTAATAAAGGGCTTATTTGTAGAAATGAATCCAGGAAACTTTGAAGCTGTTATAAGGTTTGAGCCTCATAAATAGGAATTTCAGAGATCTCTCCTCCAGCCAGTCCTTGGAAACACTGAGAATCAAAATAGTATTAGAAAGCCTTTTAATAATGGGAAAGACAGAAATGAGATAATAAAAAAGGAAATGTGAATGGTAACTAATACAGATCCGATTAAAGTGAACAGAAAGCAAAAGGCATTGTTTAATGATGCATTACATAATGTCTGACAAAGTCTAGTATATGAGCATATTGTTTGTAGATTGTTGATAGAGAATGTGTTGAGATCAGTTAAATTAATTGAGATATACTAAGTAGTCATAATAGAAATTCCATTGTTTACACTTTATGTGGATCCATTAGCATATGTTCCAGTATAACGCTGTTTTTGAACATATTTGTTAGCATATTAATCCTTAAAAAATTTTTAAAAATTGTATATTCTTACTGCTTTAGTAGAGATCTAAAATTAAGTATATCTGGTATCTATTTTACATTTAAATAGCTGCAAAGGACTTAATTTCTGGCATATTTGTATGACATTTGAATATAAAACAGTTACACCACTCTTAATTATATTCAGTAAAACATAAATATAGTAATTTGATTCTGCTATCCATTTAAAAAAAATACATGAACAAAAGATACTTCTTTGACCAGAAATTTTACAGTTTTTTATTATCCTTGAAATCGTATTTTAAATTTTCTTCCCCCACGGAATCTCAATGTTATTATGCCTTAAAAATATGTGTGTATATGTATATACACACACATATATGCACACATACACATATACATATACACGTGTGTGCATATATACAGCTATACGCACACATGTGTACATGGAGACAGAGAAAAATTATGCTAGGAAGTTTCAAGTGTCTCTAGATTTTGTAATTTCTAGTATACGACTGATAATAAACAACAAAAATTTTAATAAAATTATTAAATAATTATTAAACATAGAAAATAAAAGTTTACCAAAGCTCTCATTTCTTAATTAGACCAATGGGTTGGGTTTGTGTTGCTTGGGTTAAGGAAGCTTCATTGCTATCATATATTTTGAATTTTTCTTTTGTCTACTTTAGAGGCTTTCAAACTTTGGAGGAATGCACTGTGGTAGGATTTGGAATGAGTGCAAGATATGCTTTTTGTGAAGTGAGAGAAGGGAAATTTTGAAAGAGAAGTTTGATCTTGATAGCAGCAAGATTATTTTTAAGAAAGAATATATGTGAAATTTGAGGATATAAAAATTGATTCCTTTAGAGCCTGTGTATCTCTTGGAAAGTTATTATCTACCAGGAGCACTTGACATCCAGTTTAAAGACTAGTTATTAGAAACCGTTGTGTCATTGAAATTTTCAGCTATGAATTACTAGATTCAGTAAGCCCATGAGAAGCTTTTTTCTATGGATGGCAGAGTCCTTAATTGTCTAAAGAAAGAGTAGTCAAAAGAAAATATGTTAGATTTCACTATATCAATGAGAATTTCTTTAATCATGTGCTGTTATTAGTTAAAATGTTCTCTAATTTCAACTTATTGATGTATCTAAAATGGTGCTTTTTTTTAGTCTGTAAGTTGATCATTTGCTAAGAAATGATGCTTTTGGTTTATTTAAATGAGTTAAATTTTATTTTCTGTATGTTTACTTCTACCTGCCATCTAGTTTTATGTTATTTATCATGCTTTATTTTCTGTTTTTTTTTGTGTGTGTGTAATCGTCTGATTTTTTGATTTGCACGATTAATTCAATTTTCAATTTTCATTTTTTCTCAGTGGTCTAGAAATTCAACATTCTTATTGTTTTTCTAGAAGTTCTTTTTAAATTTTTAGCAAGTATACTGAAACATATTTTCTTAATAATTTCAAAAATTATTATCTGTAACTTCTCCTTCCTGAAAAAGATAAAGACATTTAACATACTGTTGTTTACTTTCTACCTCCACCCATTCTCACCTCTGAAACTGCTGGGAATAATCTGAAATTTTTGTTTCCAAATTCTATTAATTTTTTATTGTCTTCAAATTATGCCGATTTGAACTTCAAATTTCTTTACATTATATCTACACATTATCAGCAATTATTTTTATTTTTAAAGAAGGTTAATAAACAACAGTCTTAACAATCTTATGCAATTTTGCCTAAGAAAAAGGAGAGACAATGCAAGTAAACATAGAGAACAGAAAAGAAATTTAAGCACAGATATATAGAAGGTTAAACAAAAACCCTAGTAGATTAATAATACAGCTGGGCACGGCGGCTCATGCCTGTAATCCCAGCACTTTGGGAGGCTGAGGCGGGCAGATCTCTCGAGGCCAGGAGTTCAAGACCAGCCTGGCAACATGGTGAAACCCCGTCTCTACTAAAAATACAAAAATTAGCTGGCTGTGGTGGCTTATGCCTCTAATCCCAGCCACTTGGGAGGCTGAGGCAGGAGAATTGCTTGAACCAAGAAGGGAGAGGTTGCAGTAAGCCGAGATTGTGCCATTGCACTCCAGCCCTGGGCAACAGAGTGAGACTCCCTCAAAAAAAAAAAAAAAAATAATAATAATATGAACTACTTTTAGCAAATACACTTAAAAATCTAGATGAAATGGATGATTATCTGGGAAACTACGTTTTCAACAAAAACGTTATTATCAAAATTGATATAGGAGATAGAAAACCCAATTAGATTAATGGCTATGAAAGAAATGACTGATTTTTTTTGCTGGACTTTTCACCAGTCCTTCAGAGACAGTTTCTGAATTGCATGAATTGTTGCAGAGCAAAGAAATGTATGGAAATCTTTCCATTCATTTTATGAAGCTAATTTAATTTGATTTCAAGACTAGGTAAGTAAACACAAAAAACAAAACTATACCTCAATCTAATGAATCTACATACAAAGTTATTTTGCTAACAAAATATTAGCAAATTTAATTCAACGATGTATTAGAAGAGCAATATATCACCAATAAGTGCAGTCTGTTGTAGGAATGTAAGAGTGATTCAAACTGAGGCATCCAATTAATGTAATTCAGTGTGTCACCCATAAATATACAACAATTTTAAAAATGATTGAACAAATATGATCATGTTAAAAATGTTGAAAAGTTATATGATAAAATAAATATTCCTTCCTGAAATCTCTTAGGAAGCTGAGAACAAAATTAAACTGCTTTAATTTTATATCACAAATAAGCATCAAATAGGAACAAAAGAGTGCCTGCCATTATTGCAATGACAGCATTGTCTGGAGGTTGCACTAAAGCATTAAGAATTGAGGTATCAGTATTGAAAAGGAAGGGTCAGAATATTTATATGAATAATATGATTGTTCACCTAGAAAACCCAAGAGAATCAACTGGAAAGAGACTAGAACTAGTGTTTATTAATGTAACAAGATAAAACATAAATACTTAAAAGGCAGTGGTCTGCCTGTGGGATAAGTAGAAAATAAAAAGAAAAAAAAGATTTGTAGAAGTTACAAAAACTTTGTAAGAACTGAGACCTATGTGAAAAACCTAAGTCTTTACTAATGCTAGAAGACCTTATCAATGAGGAGACATACCGCAATCCTGAATGTGAAGACAAAATAGAAATAAATTTATACATCAAATACTATGCTAGTAAAAATCTTTCATTTTTCTTGGTGTGCATGTGGGATGGGGAGGGTGATTTGACTTCCAAATTCATCTGAAATCCAATCCATGTGGTACTGGCACAGGAATAGTTAAAGAGGTCAGTGACATTGCAGCAGTGGCTATCAACCTTGGTTGTAGATTGAAATCATTTTGGAACTTAAAAAAATACTATTCATTCTACTTTGATTCAAAGTGAGGTAAGGTTTAGGTTTTGCTATATTTTAAGTGTTTTCAAAGGCAATTCTGATGGAGAGCTAAGGTTGTGAATTACTGAACTATAAAGACCAAGAAATGGCTTGTGCACACATAGCTTGATAAATAAGAAAGCCTTTCAAATCAGCTGATTATTGGGACAACTACTTTAGGGACAAAAATAAAGCTAGATTTCTTATTAACATTAAACAGAAATAAATTTCAGACAGACAAGAACTGTGATATACAATAAATACATAAAATTAAAAAAGAATAATACAATAAATAATATAGTTAATTAATTAATTAAAAAATAGAAAAAAATAGAATAAAACTTCTAGGAAGAAATGTAAGCTGCCCACAAAGATTTATGTATGAGGATATATATATATAATTGTAAGAAGTCTAATAATTTTAAAACACATGTGCAACAATGGAGAAATAACTTAGTTTTCTTTGCCAAAGTTTGATGCAGAAGTATCTGCAGAAGAATCACCTAGAGCTTTGTTAAAAACAGATTACTGATTTTTTAAAATGATTTCTTTGTATATTGTATGCCATTATTCTCTATTGGAAAGTATATTCACCAACAAATATATTTCTACAAATATCAACTTTTAAATTTATCTTTTCACTTTCCTTAGGGTAGTTTTTAGTAAAGCTACAGTCTTAATTTAATTTTTGCTAAGTTTATCAATTTTAAAATTTATAGTTTATACCCTTTATGTCCACTGTATTAAGTTTTTCCCTAACTTGAGATTTCAAGGATAGTTTTCCAGTAATTCATCTGGAAAGCTTTTGCGTTTGATAACTATTTCATTAATTTGCTTGAAAGCTTTTGCCTTTGATAACTATTTCATTAATTTATCAGGAATTGAGTTCTAAATATGGCGTTAGTTTGAAATATTTATTTCATTTAAATATTTTTGCATTTGCATACTTTAAAATGTGTTATTAAAACAAAAAAGTTAATAAACTAAAAGTAAGTCTGCCATCTAGTCATGATTCCTGTTTTTCTCTGTCTCTGTTAAAAATTGTATTTTTAGGCCAGGTGCAGCGGCTCACTCCTGTAATCCTAGCACTTTGAGAGGCCAAGGTGGATGGATTGCTTGAAGTCAGGAGTTTGAGATTAGCCTGGGCAACATGGTGAAACTCCGTTTCTACTACAAATACAAACAAATTAGCCAGGCATGGTGGCATGTGCCTGTAGTCCCAGCTACTTGTGGGGATGAGGTGAGAGGGTCTCTTGAGCCCAAGAGGTCAAGGCTGCTGTGAGCTGAGATCACGCCATTGCACTCCAGCCTGGGTGACAAAATGAGACTCTGTCTTTAAAAAAAAAAAAAAAAAAAAAAAAAATTAAAAAATTTTGTTTTTTTTTTTTTTTTTTTTTTTTTTTTGAGACGAGTCTCGCTTTGTCACCCAGGCTGGAGTGCAATGGCATGATCTCGACTCACTGCAATATCTGCTTCCTGGGTTCAAGCCATTCTCCTGCCTCAGCCTCCAGAGTAGCTGGGACCACATGCCCAGCTAATTTAATTAATTAATTTATTTATTTATTTATTTTGAGACAGAGTTCTGCTCTTGTTGCCCAAGCTGGAGTGCAATGGCATGATCTCGGGCTCACTACAGCTTCCGCCTCCTGGGTTCAAGTGATTCTCCGGCCTCAGCCTCCCAAGTAGCTGGGCTTACAAGCACACACCACCACGCCCAGCTAAATTTTTGTATTTTTAGTAGAAACAGTTTCACCATGTTAGCTAGGCTGGTCTTGAACTCCTGACCTCAGGTGGTCCGCCCGCCTCGGCCTCCCAAAGTGTTGGGATTACAGGCGTGAGCCAACGTGCCTGGCCTAAAAAAATTGTACTTTTTTTCTTCTAAAGGAGGCAAAAAATTAGTTCTTAGCTCTTAGGTTATTATTTAATCTCATCATTTTCTTCACAATATTATACCAATATTAAGAGAGTATTATACCCTTTAAGAGGGTAGGAAATTTAGAGGTATTTTTTTCCTGCTTAAACGAGAGTTAAAGACTATCATGATTTTTTGATGTGCCATTAAATGTGAGTTTCTTAGAAAAAGCTAAATTAGAGGTAAGTGATATAATAAAGTGGCTGTGGAGTATGGCAACAGAGAAGGTATAATTATTAGCTTTTTAATTTAATTTTTTTAACAGTCATGAAACAAATGGTTTTTAGCACATGCAGATGCTAATTTTAATATGTAAAAATTAAGGAATAAAATTGAATACATGTTGTGATTTATTCAGATATATGATTGACTGATTCTTCACATCATTAAGAATGTTCTGTCTTCAGGGGTCCTGCCAGAGCAAGAACCATGGCTTATTTTGGAGAAGGAAAAGGACCCATCCATGTGGATAATGTGAAGTGCACAGGAAATGAGAGGTCCTTGGCTGACTGTATCAAGCAAGATATTGGAAGACACAACTGCCGCCACAGTGAAGATGCAGGAGTTATTTGTGATTATTTTGGCAAGAAGGCCTCAGGTAACAGTAATAAAGGTAAGTCACCTTCTGGAGCCCTAAACAAGTCAAAGAATACTAATTCCCACTCTATCACTATAAGCAGTACTTTGATAACAGAAATCAAATACAACAAGAACATATACAGGCCCATGTCTTGTGCTATTACTTAGATCCAGTAGTTCTTGGCAAACTTGCCTAGGTGAGGCTGACAGGTAGAACAGGGGTCAGGGGTAGAAGTGAATTTACGGGGCCTTATAATCTCTGGGATCATCCCCTTTTCACTTTCTTAGCCATTTCTGTATTTCCTTTTTTAGATGTAATAAAGCTCTCATGCTTGTTGCTATCTTTGAAGATCCAGAATTGATATTGACTTCATAAAAAGGAAAGTACTGAAAATATAGAAATGAATTAAAGGCATTTCTAAAGTCTTACTAATATTTTCAACAAGGATATTTAAAAATGAATTTCGAAAAGAAAATGATCTTTTGTATATTTTATTCTCTGAAATTTAAAAATTTAAGGAAAATGATAAGTAATCCTTTCGTATGATACAGTAATGTTTCATAGTTTAAGTGAATAGAGTTATTGTAAGCTCTGTGTACATTTATTATTATTTATCTATTTATTTATTTTGAGACGGAGTCTTGCTTTGTCACTGAGGCTTGAGTGCAGTGGCACAACTCGGCTTACTACAACCTCCACCTCCCGGGTTCAAGTGATTCTCCTGCCTCAGCCTCCCAAGTAACTAGGATTACAGGCGCCTGCCACCATGCCCGGCTAATTTTTGTATTTTTAGTAGAGACGGGGGTTTCACTGTGTTGTCTAGGCTGGTGTTGAACTCCTGACCTCAGGTGATCCACCCACCTGGGTCTCCTGAACTGCTAGGATTACAGGTGTGAGCCACCGCGCCCGGCCTATTTAATTTTTATGAAACATTCTTTAAATGACTGAGAGAATGAGCTATTTTGGAGAAACTTGTGGTACATTTTATGAAAAGAACAGTCACCTCTTTATCTGGATTGAAGGTTTATAGTTCTGATACTCTGGATTTTGTTAAAATCAGGTGCACCTATATTTGAGCGTTCTCTTTTTCTAACACCTTTTAATAGCTGCCAAAGACAATGCAACAAATGAATTGGATGTCGTTAATATGATTCTTTGCTGTCTGAGGGGCTTCTGATTGTGAAAAGAACACTTACAATCCTTTGCACTTTATTTTCTATTCATATATATATTAAATATATTTTTATTTATGAATGTGTATATATATATGTGTGTGTGTATATATGTGTGTGTGTGTGTATAGATCTATGTATATATGCAAATGACTTGGCCAGCCCTTTCCCCCTGAATTCTGATTATAACTTAATTTACTAAATTCCCTTTAATAATTTTAATTACCATTACAAATGGGACATAACTGATTCTTTGAATTATGTGAAATTCTGTAAGTAGTTGAAAAACATTAAAAAATCATTATTTATATGTTCGTTTTTAATGCCTTCCTAGAATTATAGCAATAATCTTTTTGATACCTTTCCATGGTTATGGCAATGCTACCATATTTCAAGTAAAAAGATTTCATCTTAGCCTAGCTAGATTACAGAATCTGGCATATTAACCAGTTGATTTTATGTTGATACTCAGCACCTGGTGACATCTATAAGGTGATTCAAACTGAAGCCATTAGTTATTGGTTATCTGATGGTCTCCTTTTAAAAATGAACTTCGTTTTTCTTGTAAAAATTTTAAATAATAGTGTATGACTTTAAATAGAGTTTACTTTCTTGCAGTCTGGTTCTTTGCCCCAGAATGATGTAAACTTAAAATTTTGCTTGTTTTAAATATTACATCATTCCTTTCCTTGGCATCATATACATTGACCCAACTTGCAGCATTATTGGAAACTTACGTTTTTTCTAATATCTTACAATTTGCAGTGTCATCTAGAGGACTCATATTCTAAGAGATGAAGGTTAAAGTTTGACAGCATACCTCTGAGATCATTTGGCAAATTAATCATTTTGGTACACACTGTTGAACCTCTTTCTCCATCAAGAAATAACTATTGCTGATTCCCTATTGGGCTCCCTTCTACCTGGTTATTATGGGAGACCATTAGGGTTGATTAGGTCTTCCTGTTCTTGGCACAATTCCCACCGTCCTCCCCTTAGATAGAAAAACTACATATCTGTACTTTATACACATATATTTAACCAAAGAAACAAAGTACCTCTATATAAATTCTCCTATTTTCTCAAATATTTTAAAAATTAGTCATGCCTGTTATATTTGCCTTTCTTTCACATACCAGCTTTTCACATATTTTTAATTTAATTCTTTTTTTTTGTATGTTCTTGACAGAAGACTGTTACCTTGGGAGGTTTGCCTGTATAGCCTTAACCATAGTTTACCACTTAAATTGGCTTAGCAAACCATTTCCGTATGTTGACATGCTAAGTAAACATAAATTCACATCAGAATTCTAGCCTGGGAATGTGCTTTGCTCTTCTGAGTTACATTTTTTTTTTTTTTTTTTTTTTGAGATGGAGTCTTGCTCTGCCGCCCAGGCTGGAGTGCAGTGGCCGGATCTCAGCTCACTGCAAGCTCCGCCTCCCGGGTTCACGCCATTCTCCTGCCTCAGCCTCCCGAGTAGCTGGGACTACAGGCGCCCGCCACCTCGCCCGGCTAGTTTTTTTGTATTTTTTAGTAGAGATGGGGTTTCACCGTGTTAGCCAGGATGGTCTCGATCTCCTGACCTTGTGATCTGCCCGTCTCGGCCTCCCAAAGTGTTGGGATTACAGGCTTGAGCCACCGCGCCCAGCCCTGAGTTACATTTTTATATGTGACTTAGAACAGTGTTGTGTGTGGAAAGTAAGTAATTTAGGCCATTACTGCCTTTGCAGTTCTCTTATTTTGTTCAATGTTCCATACATTTTGTTCCGTACTTTATACAAAATAGCAGCAGCAGGAGATATAGGTACCTACCAGGATGAAGTACTGGACAGAGTCAAACCAGTCAGCAGCCCATGAACCCATCAGAGGTGAAGAATGGGAAACCTCATAATGTTTCTTGTCTACTTGCAAATTATTGCCATTTAATCAAATGAGAAAACTATTTTTGTTACAAGAAAAATTTTAATTTGCAGAGAAAAGGCATTTTGACATAGAGGAGGAAGCATCAGTGGAGTATGTCAGTTATCGTCTTACCCCTCCATCAGCAATGTGATAGCTTAATTAATGACCTATTTCTGCTTCAGAGTCCCTCTCATCTGTTTGTGGCTTGAGATTACTGCACCGTCGGCAGAAGCGGATCATTGGCGGGAAAAATTCTTTAAGGTAAAAGTTCCTTCAAAAGATACTTTTTATATTACAGAATTATTTATATACATAGAGTGTTACAAACTGGGGATGTTCTGTTATATAAGAGACTTGTGCTCATTTTATTTTCTAAACTAAATTCAGATTTCACTGATAATTTCACTGTCCTTTGACCTATGTTTACTTTGTATAGACCATGTTCTTATATCACCAGCCTGATTTAAGAGATTAGATGTGTTGCTGAAAAGTTACATGGCACAAACAAAATAATTTAACAGGGGACCTGGAAGTGTGTTTAACTACAAAGGGTCATTTAATTTAGAATGTATTTGTTTCAGACTTGACTCAGTTTAATCTAAGTTTTTTGTTTGTAGAATTTACTAATGGAAAACTTTATTAAATAGTTCTTCAGACTGCATAGGTGAGGTAGAGTGAGGAGAGAAATTACATTTTAAATCATGAACTATAAGGAAGACAACTTGTTTCTAAGAGTGTCAGGTAGGTGGGATCTATACAAATGCCTATAAGCAAATCTTCAGAGTTGCTGATGCCAGGCCTGCTCAGAACTGTGGGGTCTCCTTCTCCAAGTAGTAAGGGATTGTATCCTGGAGTCCCTTTTGCTTTCCTTTTCCCCCGCCTGCAAGGCGTTAAAGTTATTAAAGTCATTGCTTTAACCAGTGCTTTCCTTTGCTTTTTTGCCTTTTACTGACGTTGATGTGTAGCTCATTTTCTTCTTAGGGGTGGTTGGCCTTGGCAGGTTTCCCTCCGGCTGAAGTCATCCCATGGAGATGGCAGGCTCCTCTGCGGGGCTACGCTCCTGAGTAGCTGCTGGGTCCTTACAGCAGCACATTGTTTCAAGAGGTATGTGTCCACCTTCCCAAACAACCCAGTGTAGCTTCTATTCATCAGTTATTCCAATCCCCTCATGCTCTACAGCACTCAAGGTGTCAGAGCCAGGCTATGAGCCTTCTCTGCTTGTGCCAGCAGCCCTGTGGAATGAGGGAGTGACACAAGGAGCAAAGAGAGCACTTAGAAAGCCACTTGCTACCCTGCTGTTACAGCAAATTCCGGATTTAGGGAGAAGAAGAGGGGTTTTTGGAGAGGAGGCAGCAATGTCAGTGCTCCCCCCAAGAACATATCTGAGGCTGAAATTATATCTTTGTAGAGGTAGAAGAGACCTTAGATTACTTAGTTATAAATGATAAGGAGTAGGGAATGCAGTTGTAGTGTTTTTGATCCTTTGAGTTTTAGTGTCTTGTACCTTTGAGAAAGGTTGCATCTGTTTCATTCTTGGTTTCCTATAGTTTAGTCCTGATTATTTCATCTTGTCCCAAACATTTTATCAGTCCTTTCTGAAGTCTTCCCAGTTCAGAGGAGAGGTCACGCAGAGTCACCAGAGTCACAGAGCTCATGGTGGCAGATCCTGCAGTAGAACCGGCTCTCCTTTCTCTTTGTTAAGTGCTGTTTTGTGGGCCTTGGTTAATGGCCCTGTCCTCAGCATTAATTTTGGTATTTAAATATGTATACCAATGCTTGTCAAAATATTGATAATTATTAAAGCAATGTGTTGAGTTTCATTGTATTATTTTAATTTTGTGTTTTGAACATTGTCACAATGAAGTTTTAAAAAAAAATATGTACCATATTGTTGAAACATTTTTGCAAGCAGAAATTTTTCTATTTTTTTCTTATGTGATATCATATGGTACATACCTTTGCTTCATTATGTACTTGTAATCCATCCATGCAGATTTGTTCATTCACTTTAACTGCCGTATGAATTTTAACTGCTATTGAAAGCCTGAACCAGTTTATTTATTCCCCTGTTGCTGTGTAGTTAGCTGCTTTCCATTCTTTCATTGAGAGAAAACAATGTTGCAATAAACAACCAGATACCAGTCTCACTGGGTGTGTGCACATAGGGACATTTTTCTGGGTCCTAGAATATGGATTCCCATCAATTTGTCAAGCCCTACCAATTTATCCTTTGAAGAAGTTGTGTCAGTTTATAACCCAGCAATGTGTAAGTTCCTGTTTCCTCACGACTCTAGCTAAACTTGACTATCAAAATTTTAAATTTTTTGCCAATCACAAAGTTTTAGGGTTTCCTTTTAATTGTATTTCCCTGACCAGTGTCTTCCTCTTTCATGAATTCTTTGTTCATATACTTCACCTGTTTTTGTATTGGGCTATTTGTCTATTTGTAATTGATTTTTTAAATTTTTGGATATGTTTTGTGTGCTAAGTCTTTGTTGTTAGGTGTTACAAGTACTTTTTCCTAGTCTGGACCATGTCCTTTTACTTGTTTATGGTCTTTTTCTTACAAAACTATCTTAATATATTTAAAAGTGTCATAATTTTCTTAAAAGTTTTACAAAAGCTTTGTATTTCTTATTTAAAAAATCTTTGCTTTGCCCTTATTCTCTTTTTTCCCCCTAAAACCCTTTATAGTTTTGCTTTTAATATTTAGAATTTTAATTTTTCCAGTTTATTTTTGTTTATAGTATATGGTATGAAGGACCTAACCTTATACTTTTCTTTATGGATAGTTTTCCTAGCATTTTTTATTAAATATTCTAGTCTTTATCCACTGATTATGCTGTTTGCCATATGCCAAATTCTCATATATCCTTGTTCCTAGGATCTCTATTTTCTTCCATTTTTGTATTTCAGTAAATATTTGTGCAGTAATCTTCCACATTCAAGGTGCTACAGAGAATATGTATTTTATTTATTATTATTATTATTATTATTATTTTCGAGACGGAGTCTCACTTTGTTGCCCCAGCTGGAGTGTAATGGCACAATCGTGGCTTACTGCAACCTCCACCCCCAAGGTTTAAGTGATTCTTCTGCCTCAGCCTCTTGAGTAGCTAGGATTACAGGTGTGTGTCATCATGCCCAGCTAATTTTTGTATTTTTAATAGAGACGGGGTTTCACCACATTGGCCAGGCTGGTCTTGTACTCCTGACCTCAAGTGATCTGCCCGCCTTGCCTTCCCAGCCTCACCAAACCTGTATTTTACATACCAGTGGCCATTTGGGTATATAATTGAGCTTCAGAGTCCACCTGTTTACTAGTGGATTTAACACATTCCTGTGTTACCTGAGTGGCATAAACAATAAAAATCATATTAATTCATTCACTTAACAAATAATTATCGAGCACTTACTATTCTCAGGTACATGCTATGTACTAGAGATACAGTGGCGAACAAGTCAGATAGAATCCTTCCTGTTACAGAGTTTACTATGTAGTTATAGGAGCAGAGAGGAAGGAGATGTTGACTTTGCTGATACAACCAGAAAAAGTTAAGGCACCATTTTTAAAGTGAGATATTTTTACCACAACGTTAGATCCATTTAGCTTGTTAATATTCCAGGTTCCTGAGCCCCTGCTCTAAATCTGCTGAATCTTTGGAGATGAGACCTAGGAGTTGCTTAGGTTAAGACCCACTTGCTTAGAGGAGAGATAGTTGAAGAATGATGATGGGGAAGAATAAGTGGAATTACCAGACAATTATCTTTGTCGTGTTCAACATATTCATTGCTAAACTGATAAAAAAAACAATGATGGTAAATTGATTACATTTTTGGGTGCCAGAAGAAGGGGAGGGACAAGTAATATGTTGAAAGGTAGGATCATGATGGCAAAATATCTCTTTTTTTTCATATATGGGAAGACCAAATTTTTAAAATGTCTTCTTAAAAAAAAAAAAAAGCCAGAATACATGTGTGGAACGTGCAGGTTTGTTCCATAGGTATACGCGTGTCATCGTGGTTTGCTGCACTTATTGACTGGTCCTCTAAGTTTCCTCTCCTCACCTGGCAAAATATCTTGATAGGCTGATTCTAACAAGCAATATGGAATAAGGATGAAATAAAATGCTGCCTTTAGTTCCAGGAAATTTGGCTGAAATACAGCATAAGTGAAAAACTCACTGGTTTTAGTATCCTGCAACTTTAATAAGACTCAGCAATACAATATGGTTGCCCATGAAATTAATTCAGTCTTGGGTAGCACTGACGAACGGTGTCCAGACAAAGCAGTGAAGAACCTTGCTATTCTTTCTGTGCTCAAGTGACTGTCAGGGAGAAAAGCACTGTCTCCATCAAACAGAGAGAACTGTGCTCAGTTCTGCATGCCACATGATGAGAAAAGGACATGGTGCTCTAAGAAGGGCAAGCAGAAAGGAAAGATTGTGTGGGACTGGATTAGGTTTGTTGCCTTTTGCTTCAGATACCACAAATGTTAAAGGGAGATAAGATAATTTTTGTTTTAACACAAAGAAAGAGTTTTCTGTTGTTTATTTTGTATTTCTTTGACACTAGGGCAGTTCAAAGATGGAATGGGCTATGTGTGGGAGGAAAAGTGAGTTCTATTATGGAGTCTGTTTAAGCAGAGAGGTTGGGTTCATGTGTAGGTAGAGGCTGGTGGTAGATAAGATGTAATGTTTAGAGTACTGTGGTGAGAAAGCAAAAGCTATGTTTGAAGGATAACAATTACTACCTAGAATACAGGATCTGGGGTTTGTTAGTGAACTTAGAAGAGAGAGACAAGAATAGCCTGGGATGTCAGGGTTATGGATTTCTCTTTCATTTACTAGGCAGTGGGAAACCACTAAAGTTTTGAGCCTTGAAAGATGATCAAGGAAGAGTTTTAGGAGATGAGTCATTTGGAGATTTATGTCATATATCTGAGGGGGTAAGGCAAAGTTATTAATCTAGGGAGGCCTCTGTGAATGGGCTTGACATTATGTTAAAAAATCTTTGTATATGTTTGTACTTATATGCCTTTTTCTGGCAAATTGGTCTGTGTTACCAAATGATTTAAGCAGGAACTGGAGGGACTGAGAGGAAGGGACCTAATTTTATACTTTTATACTGGAGGGAGACCAGTTGTAAGATTATCGTAATAATAGAAATAGGCAAAAAGGAAAGGAGGGAGTGAAGGTAGAGAGGCTGTTAGAAATCAGTAGAGCCTGGTACAATGCAACAGAAGGAGACTTGGATCTGGCCACCAAGACCAGGGTTACAATTCTAGCTCTTCCAATTGTTAATTGTTTAACTTTGCGGAAATTATTTAACCTCTTGGAATCTCAGGTTACTTCATTTTACATCTGTAAAATGAAGATAGTAATGTTCTACAGTGAGAAACAAATGATCTGCAAAGTATTTGAAAGAATTTTTTAAACTGTAAAATTCAAAACAAACATTGGCTATTTTTATGTTGGAGTTTAAAGGCAAGAATTGAAGATTGTATTAGTGAAACTAGGGAACTGAAGATGATTTTATTTCACTTACTAATGGAGAAGAATAAGGTATAAAACTGCAAAGAACTTGAAGAAGCCTATTTTGGGGCTTTGAATTTAAGCAAAATAATCTATTATCTTCCTGTTATTCAAGATTTCTTGTCTTTCAAATTTCAGCCAAAAGTTACAGTCATAGGAGTTCAAGGCTTAAAGTATTAAAGTAGGAAGATTGCTCAAAAGTTGCACTTGAGGTTACAAACTTTAACTTTTGGGTTCCCTGGATGGGCTCTTTTTTGTGGTGGTTGTTGTTATTGTTGGATTTATTTGTTTACGTGTCATTATTTCTCCTTTGGCCTGCTCTGTCTAGATTATTGCTGAAAGTCAATAATCGTCTCATTTGTGTTTATACACCAAGTGTCTAGTGTATGACTTGGCACATAGTAGATACTCTAAATGATTATTGCATGATGAAAGTGGTGGCTCAGTTGCCAGATAGTGACTGTATTTAAGAATGTTGGATTGTTTAGAGGATGGTGATATTTTTAAACCTAGATCAACAGATAATTCCTTCCATATGTCATTTGGAATTTCTTCTCATTATTTGCACAG